CAGTCGAAATTTACTATAAAGCACATATGTAATTAATTTGAAATGTGATAAAGAATAATGATTAAAAAGGATTACAAAGTCCTTTGTTGTTGCTGTTGTTATTGATTATGAGAAAGGCTTTTTTTAGAGATTTTTAGTTATGTAGACCTTATAGGTTATATATATAGGTAGCATAACCGTGATATTTTGCTAACTGACCTTGCTAAAGTTTATATAACCACCTTAGCATGAGACAAATTGGTTTGCACATCACGAAGTGACATACTCCTTCCGCATTGGGGTCATGCAAACTTCAACATAATATCAAAAAACTTTGAAGTAGAAGTCCAAATTCAACGGTATATTTCCGCATTAAATAACAAACATTTTAATGCATTTTTTTTCTCTTTTATTCGTTGATCAATACTTTTTGAACGATAGGCTTAGTGTTCCGTTAAGCTATAACGGTAAAAGTTAAATTAGAAGTAAATATCTCGCATTTAATGTTCCGAATCACAACTGTAAAAATTAATTTAATTTTTTAAGGTTTACACCGAAATGTTTTGATTGGGTATGTACTTACTAATTTTAGTCTTCATTTGCATAATGAAATTCGTATGCGAAGTGTTATATAGAAGAAGAAGAAGAAGAAGAAGAAGAAGAAGAAAAAAGTTTATTTTCCAACTTGTACAAATAGTGTACCTCGTTGTTTCAAGTACATAAAATGATATTAAAAAATTAAGAATGTCACAGTGATTAGGAGCTAATATGTAAAATATGTCAGCTAAATCAACATAGAAAATAACAAATGTGTGACAAATGTATAGAATTCAGAATGCATACACTGTACAATCATTTTAAACAACTATTATTGTACTTTAACAAATATTTGAATTTATCAAGAGCTTTAATCATCACTCCTAACAAAGATTCAAAGTAAATTTAACTTTATTACTTAAATTAACTGAAAATACTAAATAGATTAATTCTTATAGTTCGTAATATTACTATCAATTAACCTGTACTATTTAAGACACGTGCTTGTAGACAAACAAACACACTTACACTTCATTATTAACATTTTAACATTACTCTTGAGGTCAGACTTAACAGGCTATTACAACTTCATTATTATTTCTTATAGCAATATATTAATAAATCCGATACGAGTTCGACCAGCAAGGTAAATATATTTAGAAAGGTTTTTTTAAAACGAAGTTATTTTTTTAAGTAGCTGTGCTAGGATAAAATAAGGTTTGATGTACTGTAGACGCAAAGTTTGATAAGCGTTACATTTAAGAATAAAATGGTAATCATCCTCAATGTCGGATGTTCCGCAGATTTGACAGATTGGACAAGTTCGTTGTGTTCTTAAAATACGATTTCTACCATGTCTGCTGGTTTCTATACGTAACGTGTGAGCTGACACACGAATTCTATCAATGATTGACGTAATTTCATCCTTAATGTCCACATATTAATTATTTAAAATGTAGTTATTGTCCAACAACATTGACCTGGCACTTCATTAACTTTCGTAAAGGTCATTTGAATAAACACTGACCAATATCTAACGAATATATCGATATATTTGCTAACTTAACTCGTCAGTGATGTATGGTGTTTTGGTATAGATGTCGGACTACCGATCTGAATGTCTCTGGTTCCATTCCTTACCAACACCATGTTATGATTTTTTTTAAATCAAATTGCAAGAATTAATTTGAAATCGTTTTACTACACCTGGTTTTAGAATACACAATTATATTTTTTATTTAAATACAGTATCTTTCAGCGGTTCTCTTTGTGTTATTATGCAGTCGTACATGTATATCCTTTAGCGCATATAAAGGCAGTTATTAATTAAAAATACTACACAGATATCACGCACGCACACACGTATCGACGCACGCACAGACACACTAATACACAACAAAAGGTTTGCAATAGTTTAAGGAGAATGGCAATTTTAAAATTAGAATAAAAAAGAAAAAAGAAGTCCCTGAAAAAGGATTCAAACCTACCAGTTAACATCTACATTCTTCAAATGAAGCTCCTTTACCAACTACGGAAATGGATTTTTAAAATGTTTTATTACATCTGTAAACAACAAATTTCTGGATGTGAAAATGAAAGTTGAAATCAGCATCCATTGGCTATCACGTGACCGATTTGAAACGTATTATTTCATTGGTTGATTAAAATACGAAGCTGACCTGGGTATCGTCTAATCAAACGGTGTCTTACAACCGGAGCCGATTATGTATCATGGCTTCAAAATAATTAACGGAAGATTAATAAAAATCAAAGTGCTGAAAGCACTGATGGGGGCGCAATATGTTGCATACAAAAATTCGAGATTTGTATAGCAATCTACTTTAGGTGTTCCAATCTGATATCATTCTTCTTTCAAAGTTGAATAAGTGCCCATTTTGTACACAATATAATAGTATCGCCTCCAAACTCTTGTCAAAATTGAAAATCATGTACCAAGAACATACTAACAAACCCAGGCAAAATGCATAATTGATATCATATATATATCATGAATAAACATTTTAAATTATGACATTGGATTTTGTTGGGAAACTATAGTTGTTTAACCAATTTTCATGTAAAGTACTTCCTTATGTGAGTGCATAACACATAAATCAGTGTACTTACTATATTTATTCCAAGAAATGATTATGCAGATAGAAAATAAACAGAAAATTTAACTGTCTTTAAAATATTTCTAAAATAAAACCAGGACTGTAAGAACAAACTTGTTTTTTGTAGAAACCTTTCAAGCACAATAGATAATACATGTGAGAATGTAAATTGGAATGGATACATATAATCAAGTTGGCATTGAAAACAAGAGCCACTATCTAGCCTGGGCCATGCTCAGCTTTTTCTTATATTGGAAGTCAAACACATCAGTAGGAGAATATTGTAATATCTATTAGAGTACTCCTAGAAAACATAATATAAATGTATAAAGTAAATTTCAAATTTGAATAGTAAAGGTCATAGTTGAATGATAATTCATCACCTTAGTGCAAAAACTCAATAACTGCATATAGATAAAGAAGCAGATATTGAGTTCTTGCACTAAGGTGACGAATTGTTCTTTTGTCCAAGAATGAATCAAATCATAGACAAAAACAAAGTTATGACAATGTGATCGAATTTCAATTGTTTAACCTTGGAGGTAATGGTCATTTAAATGTCAAAGTTATATCAGAAAAATTCAACATGTTGGTTTTGTGTTTGTTTGTCCAAGCATGAATCAAATCTGTAAATAATAACAAAGTAATGACAATTCCAGCTAACTCCAGATATTTTATATCAAACAAGCAATTATCATAGTATTGCAAGCAATCCATAAGTCCCCTACCGGTTAGAACCCCAGCAACTTTCTGATGGGCCATTGGCCAGTCAATTTTACCAGTGAATGAATGACATGAATGAACTTAAATCTTTTGAGTTCTAAGTTTGTCTATATCACAGTAATGTGTTAAGTTTCCCTGCCTAGTAAGGAAATTATGTTTATACAACCTTGTCATATTATTACGATGTGGGATTTGAAAGTAAATCCTATAATGAATGAAGAAGTTGGAGTGAAAAATACCAATTTCTCGAAAAAAATCTAAGTTCAAGGGGGACATAATTCTGGAAATAGTCTTGCTAGAGTATTTAACCTTCTCAAAAATGTTGAGTGAGAATAAGAAACATATATATGAAGTTTGAAGTAGATACATTAGGAAATAAAGAAGTTATTTAAAAAAGACAACATTTTTTTTCATAAAAATTCTAAGTTCAAGGGAGGTAATACTGATAATTTTTGTGCTAGAGTTGTAAACCTTGTCACATATGATGTGGTTGATGACCAGAAACTTATATTTAAAGTTTGAAGTAATCACCTTAAGAAATAAAGAACTTATAGTGAAAAAGCTGAAAAATTTAAATCAGAAATCTTGAAATTCAGGCTATTTGTTGCCATAGCAACCAGAATTTTCAACATAGGAAGAAAAAAAAAAGACGTGCATAATCTCCATACTGCCATCTATCCATATATCAAGTTTCATAAAAATATTTTTAGTACTTTTTGCGTTATTGCGGGATCCAGTTTATGTGTTCAATTTGCCATATTTTCAGGCTATTTGTTGCCATAGCAACCAGAATTTTCCACATAGGAAGAAAAAAAAAGACGTGCATAATCTCCATACTGCCATCTATCCATATATCAAGTTTCATAAAAATATTTTCAGTACTTTTTGCGTTATCGCGGGATCCAGTTTATGTGTTCAATGTGCCATATTTTCAGGCTATTTGTTGCCATAGCAACCAGAATTTTCAACATAGGAAGAAAAAAAAAAGACGTGCATAATCTCCATACTGCCATCTATCCATATATCAAGTTTCATTAAAATATTTTCAGTACATTTTGCGTTATCGCGGGATCCAGTTTTGTGGACGGACGGACTGACTGACAGACGGACAGACAGACGGACGGAGGGTAAACCTAAAGTCCCCTCCGGTTAAACCGGTAGGGGACTAATAAAGGTCAAGGTCATATATGAACTTGAAGGGCTTTTGTCACAAAAACATGTCTCCCAAAACTGTGTATGGTTCTGATCACTCTTTTGAATTTTGGCAGTTTTACATGTGATAGATTTTTCTTTTTTTAACTCTGGGGCCATTTTGTGCAGAGAAACAGAACATGCCATTGTCGGATACCCACGATTGATAAACATGTCACATAACATGCAATCAATGATGAATGTTAATGGTTCGGCCGTGGGTATCTGACGATGAGAACATGCCAACAATGTGCACAACTAAGGATGGCACTGTACACTCCTGTTTAGTCCTGTTTGAAATCTAACCAGCAGTTTGAACATTACTTTTGTACTTTTATATAAGTTAAAGATAGAAAACATTATCAATTTTAATCCTATACTTATTATAGGTATTTATTGGATTCATTATTCAAAATTAAATGAAAGAGCATGGAACAAAATATTTTCAAGATCTAGTAAAATCTAAATGTTTTTAAAATCTAGTAGAATCAAAACTTTACAATAAATATACTATAAAGTACATTATAACAATACATGTATTTTGGATAATACACTCTCAGCTGAAATACTTTAAATGGGTATGGTATTATAAATGTTTGTAAATATTGTAAGTTATCTAATCAATAAGTCTATTCTTAATAAAAGAAACTTGCACCTTGATATTTTCTGTACAAACTAGAACTGCCATTGTCATGGCGTGAATACCCCCACATACCAATTTGTCAGAATCACACCAGTAGTCATTTACAGCTCAGACAACCTCCCAGCCAAATCTGAGGGAAGTAAGCCAGTGCATTGCTAAGTTATGTATTCTACATGTTTTAGTGGAAAAGATCAAAGTGAACTTTACCTTTGACCTACTGACCTCAAAACTGAAACTGCCATTGAATGACTTCAATAACACCCCCCCATTTCATGCAGCCTTGCCTGGAGGTGTTTTATGATGAATATATAAGACCATTTGAGCAGACAAGCTAATTGTAATAAAAGCCCCTGTGACCTTGACCTTTGCCCCAGTGACCTCAAAATCAATAGAGGTATTCCACTAATCTTGACTAACCTCCATGCCAAATATGAAGACTACGGGTCAAAGGATTCTTAGGTAATTGGGAGGACAAGCTTTAATTAGCCAAGGCCCCTGTGACCATGACCTTAGACCTGGTGACCTGAAAATAAATAGGGGTCATCTACTAATCATGACTAACCTCCATGCCAAAAATGAAGACTGTGGGTCGAAGGATTCTTAAGTTATTGGGCAGAAAAGCTTTCTTCAGTCAAGACCCTGTGACCTTGACCTTTGACTTGGTGTTCTCAAAATTAAAAGAGGTCATCTACTAATCATGACTTACCTCCATGCCAAATATGAAGACTGTGGGTCAAAGGAATCTTAAGTTATTGGACGGACAAGAAAAAACTGACAAACTCCCGACGGCCGGACAAGCTGATTCCAGTATACCCCCCTTACAACTTTGTTGTGCGGGGGTATAACAGATTTCAAACATTGATAAGTTAGCTCATCTTCTTGGTGATGAACTGGCGCCTCTATATACAAATGTGGTTCTGTTCATACATAGGTTATCTCATGTTCTTTGTGATAAACTCTCACCTTGAAGTTGATAGAGTTCTGTTCATACATATTTCAAAAATAGATAAGTGATCTTATTTTCCTGGTGAAAAACTGTTCGCTCATTAAAGTTCTATACATATTATGATATTTCAAATATTGGAAAGTTATCTCATGTTCTTGGTGAAAGACTGGTGACTAGTTTTCTCCTCAATGTCATTTCTTTTTCTTATTAGATTAAGTCAAGTTACTATATTCATGAGGCTTTCGACATCACATCATCCAACATTGCAAAGGGCAAGCAGTCTCCTGGTATTCCAATTTCTTTTAAGTTTTGAAAAACCCAAATATTTCAATTTCTCTAGTAGTGTTTCCGACATGAAGACACATCTACATGCATCTGTCCTTATCACTCCTGCTATTACTGTTCTATCATACAAACGCCACTGTTTCCTGAAATATTTGTTTAGAAAAAGTTAATTGCAAAATAAAAATGCCATTATTTTTGTTGTTTTGTTCGGGGAGGGGGGGGGAGAGCAATTTAAAGCACAATTTCCAGCTTTACTGGTTGAGGAAGACCTTGGTGCACCTATGTGTATGATTTCAGGCACCTGGGTACCATCAATGTTCCATAAATAAGCTGGATAGCTTTCTCACATGAAATAATCCATAAACCCTTGCAGAGCTCGAACCTACAGCAGTGAAAGGCTTAATAGGTTCAAAGTCAACCAATCCACCACAGACACGTATTTCATCTATTTGCTAAACAGCATTTTTTTCAAAATTATTTAAATTTATAAATGTGAGTGATTCTGATAACCTATAGATAGCTAAGTGTAGATAAGATAATCATATATGTCAGATATGTCGGAGTGCTTACTGTGAATATTCAATATTTTAATGTGAATTCTCCTGAGGTGAAAAGGAAAGACAAGGAACATCGCAATGCGATGCAACCAGGTTTTCAGCAAAATATTTCACAGAAGCTTTGTCATGAAGGGGCATTTGTTTTTAATTGAACTTTTAGGAGGAATTATGGCTTTTTTTATATTCCTCAAACAAAAATGATTGAGAAATTTTATGTTGTCTATTCGCCTTTTTTTCCCAAATGTTTTAGAAAGGTAAACAGTACTTTATTTTTGCTTAATTTTTGCATTTTTGCGTCTCTTGTCATTTTCTTTTGTCAACAATATTGGCGTGTGGTGTTTTGTGCGATATCAAGAAAAGTATGTTCACAATTTTAAAAAAATACTTGAATGATGTCTTGGAAGAAACATGGGAATTTAGTGAGCGCCAGGGCACTTGATGACAAAGCTTCTGTGAAAATTTGGTCAAAATCCATTGAGAAATGTAGGAGAAGTTGCGCACTGTAGAAATTGTTCACTATATATTCTGTATAAGGAAAAAATATACAAATTTTAGGGCCATAATTCGGTCAAATATTATCCAATCACAAAACCCCGACAATATGTGCCAGGCACTTGATAACAAAGCTTCTAAGAAAGTTTGGTCAAAATCCGTTGAGAAATGTAGGAGGAGTTGCGCACAGAAGAAATTGTTCACTATATATTCTAGATAAGGAAAAAAAAACAAAGGGCCATAATTAGGTCAAATATTATCTAATCGCAAAGCCCGACAATATGCGCCAGGGCACTTGATGACAAAGCTTCTGTGAAAGTTTGGTCAAAATCCGTTGAGAAATGTAGGAGGAGTTGCGCACAGAAGAAATTGTTTACGCCCCCGCCCGCCCATCCGCCCGCCCGCCGCCGACATACCTCAATCTAATAACCAGTTTTTTCCTTCGGAAAACCTGGTTAAAAAGCTGAATTCCTAAATACATGTTACATGTCACAATTGTTCTTGCTATTATTTTTGTTCCTAATTTCTAGTATAAGATGATATTTAAATACACTGTAATTCCTTTTTATAAATTTGGATTTTATCCAGTGACAGAAGCTCACTGACTTAAAATAAACTGTCCTGTGTCAGCCTTTAAACAAGTCAAGAAAAAAAGCTATTAGAATATAATAATTAAGAAATATCATATACAACCACTTCTAAATAATCATGTACCGCTTCCTTAAATGCCATGCTACTGAAAGAAACATTTTACCATTTATTCACTGCAAGGTTTGTCAGATTGACAGTCTCACATTTTAGCCTTTATCTCTCTTGATTTCATTCTCATTGACCCTAAAGCATCCTTAAACTCGATATCCTGCCGTTCACATTCACAAATCTGACATGTAGGCCGACCATCTGAAACAGAAAGTTGGAAAGATAAAATATAATTATTATTAGATATACATATAGTATCCCAATAATTATGTTAGTTGATATCAAATCAATAATTTAAGCAGTGTTCGAAATTAGCAGTAGTCCGAGGGCCTGACTACTAAATTTCTCCTCGGGCTACCAACTTTTCACAGTAACAAGCCGACCAGGCTACTGTATTTTCAGAGGCAATATAAACAACTGTTTTGAACAAATGAATCGTGCCAGTGAAATGTCTTTTGGTCTAGTGAATATTCCACTCTGGTAGTCCGACCAGACTAGTCGATTCAAATCCTAATTTCTTACACTGTTTAAGAAACAATTTGTTCAAAATTGTCCAAGCACAAAGATTTTTATAGTATACTATAGTAGTTATAGTGTATATACAGTATGTACTAAATGTCTTTACAATCTACTATACTGTCCTGAAATTTTAAGAAAACAACTATCTTTAAAATCCATTGTCTCAGAAGTTGCAAAACCAAGTAAATGAAATTGTTCTGGGTTTGTATTATTCTGCACAACTTCTCATCACAAAAGCTTCAAGGACATTAATGAGTGAATCAGGTCCTATCCTAAAAGATTGTTGCGTACAAGTTTGAAGACAATCCATTCAAAAATAACAAAGTCATAGCCACTAATAGCAAAAATCAAGAAAATTTAAATATTTTACCTTGAATGTTTATATGGAGGTCAAGTTTAGTCTGGTCTATTTGAAGGGTTGTTGTGGCCAAGTATGAAGACAATACACCAAGATCTGAAAAGTTATGAAAAAGGTTAGTTTGTTGACAGCAACGGGAAAGCCGTCATGACCCTAAAATGCAAACTGAAAGTTCTAGCCTATACACACTGTTGAGGATAGCCGTTCAGCATTTTTCAATAATAAATAAAATCAATGCAATGATAAAATCAGTAACTTGCAAGTCTTCTAACATTTTTACAAAGAATGAACATATATATTTTTTCCTAATAATTCTATGATGACGTTCAGCCTTTTATATTATAACAAGATATCGGAAAGATATATCAGAAATGAATTGGCCCGTGGACTTTAATGTCAATCATAGAGCTCTTATGCAAAATGTAATGGTAAGCAAACATCCAGCATGAAATTTTCAAGTAGCTAAAAGTGAAATAAAATTATTAAAAATACTTTGTCATATAAATTCAACTACTGTTGGAAATTGACCCACATGTTTGATTACAAATGTATTACATCTATATTGTCCATAGAAATAATAAATTAATTTTCAGTCTCTTTCTCTTTGCGCTTTCACACAGATTTAAATTATTCAACTCCATGATTTTCAGAAGGAAAACATATCTTCTGATCATCAAACACTAAAAATTACTATACCAACTGTAAATTGCAGTCTGTGCGAAAGACTGTCGGTCCTCGGACCTCGCCAACTAAAAATCAGTAGGGCCGAGATAAATTTCGATACAGTCAGTTGTCATGTCCAAATAAAATTTCAGCCAGTTTGAAACAATTTTTGGCCTTCTAAAATATGCAAAGCTTCCAAGATCAATCTATTTTTTTAATTTTTGCTTGTATTCACAGACCAAGATAACCAAAATCACCGCAGGATACGACCAGTTTTTGCTAAGTAATGTCAGCCACCATCTTGTCTTTGATAATTTCCTTACCAAAACATATTTTTTCTCCAATCTTCAAAATTAAACCTTTGAAAGATGTATTGTTTTCTTGTGAATTATGCTAATGTTTTATTAATTATGTTTCTGTATATTTTTTTCATAGTATCTTATAGTTGAGTCTGACAATTCATATATGCTAAATATTTTTCTTTATAATTATGGCAATATCCCTCCCCCATCCCTACAAAAAAAACCTTTCAGAGTCCGGGCCGGTAAAAAATCATCAGGGCCGGAAATAAATCTAAGGATTCAAGTCCTTGCGGCAGGAATTTTTTTTTGACTTTCGCATTGACTGAAATTGTATATGATATTCAATAAAATCTTCTTTTAGAAAAACAAGTTTGCATATTATTGTTTTAGGCAACTCATTTTTAAAATGCTGTACAGCTAGCCTCAACAGTGAGTATATGCTAGTCGTATGCGACTCGCATACAGCCAGCACTTTTGTCAAACAATACTGGTTCATACTGCTAGCCACTGCCATGATTAATTATTCCTTCCTCTACCAATTCATAAACTTCCATCAACAAAATTTTTGAATACTATTAGTATAATAATCATATAGATGTTAAAAAATAAAAGTAATGATGACTTAATATGATGTATATAAATTCCACTGCTAAAGACAAGTTGTTTTTATTGATAGTTTATATCAACAAAGGTAATGAGGTCAGTTTCATCAGTGTATGATGACTTTTAAATTTTTGTTTAAAGTAAAAATTGATAGTCATCAAATTGTTCTAAATATTACCATACTGTTATACAGAGTTCCAGATAATTTTTTGACACTGGGGGTAATTACTTACCCCCACTTTCCAGAATGTGGGGGTAAATTTAAATAGATCAAAAATCTATCGAGTAAAATTTTGTGTGAAAAAAATGTCAATTTGATTAGCCCTTGAAGCAACCATGCACTACATGTGTATTAATAAATCCTTGCAATTATCAAGAAAATAGAACAATTGTTTTATCAAGCACCTAAGCAATAAAGACGTAATTTGACTGGTTTACAGAGAAAAATAGTTGAAAGTATCTTGACGGGTATTAATTGGAAATAGATACACAGTCAACTGTTAATGGAAGCGGTCAATCAGCTGTTTCGAAAATGAAAGTACACACCGAAAACGCTTCAAATTTACATTCTTTGCGTAATAAATTTACAGAGTGCGTAAATGAACGCAACAAATTGGTAACGTTGTATGTTTTTAGTTGATTTTAAAGCGTAAAATACGCCGATACTCACATTATCTGGAATCTGTTATATTTAATAATATAATCAGTAATCTTATTATTATTGACCTGTGGTTTTGAATTTTAATACAACTACTTTTTTCATATAAATGTCTATAAATTTACAAATAAAAAATCTATAAAATTATGGACTGACCATAAATATGAAATCCTACATCTGATGAAGGCAAAACTGTGGAAATCAGATCTACATGTATGAAATAAGTATATCTGAACTTAAGTCATATTGTATTTAACAATTATAATTATTACCAGTCCTTTAAAATTTTGGGACCTCTAGGATAGGATTTTATTCATTACAGGGCTGGGGCAGTACCTCCAGTCGCTTGCAAAAATCATGATCACAAAATTGAAAACTATCATTTTTCACCAATTATAACATTTTACCTGTATACCATGACAAGTTTTGGGCCTATTTTGTTTAGCTTAGAAAGCTAATACAGTAAATTGAGTTATAGAGATGTGTTCAAAAAGTAGTCAAAAATGTAATAATAATTTAAGAAAATATCTTTCCATGTTTCTGAATAAGTCCAGATATTAATTATGTGGTTTCAACAATAAAGAGTGATAAAACAAACCAATATGCTAATAAATTGAAAAGTGGACCGAGTTGAAAAAAGGCCGAGCTGACTCGGGGTACGTTTTAGGGCCGAGTTTGTAATGCACTAAAATTTGCAGTCTATCAAGCGAAATATATCAATAGCTTCACCAGATTGTGAAGAAAACTTGATTATACATACGGAATAGATTGCAACCAAAATATCAACGTAATAACTGGGACTTCCTAATTGATAGCAAATCTTCTCAACTTTTCTCGGATTAACTGACCAAGATGGCGATTTCGGGAAAATGACGTCAGAGGGAAAATAGTTCGTATTCATACGCATACAAATTTTTACTCTGTCATTCACACTTTTTATCCATTTTAAGCTTGAAAGTTATCTAATATGAAAATCGTATTCCATTTTTCCTGAAATATTGTGTTCTATGATAGTTAGTTAATTTATGACTTGATAAAATTGGCACCAAATGTATGCAAGTACTTTGGCTCTCATGCATCGGGAACCAGAAGGTAGAACAAATAAACTGGTTCTCATTAAATTTTTATCGACTGCTAGCATAGTAATATTCAAATCGCGTAAAGCAATGGTATATGTAATTTTGTGATAAAAGGATTTAAAATTTAGTAATAAAATGACCAGTCAATTTCAAAATAGATACGGTATAATGATGATCTGAATATTATGGCAAAATATTGGAACTATTTTTGCTCAGCGCAGCTAGATAGCCTAAACGCGTTCAAAGGGTAGTAAGCTGAATTTATCGTAATTACATTGGGGGCTTGCGCCCCCAAAAAACTGTATGTGTGCTATACTTGATTGGTTTTGGAACAATTTCCAACAGTAAGTTGTTTCTTTGGTTTTGATTTATCGATTTATTGCGGGTTGGTACATCGACATGGTTTGAAATTGTGTTTTTACACGTAGAAAATCGGGTGGGGACAGGTTACACGGTCGTGTCCGACCTAGCAAGAATACGATATTCTATCCGAAATAAGTGGGAACAATAATGCTATTGTCAACGTCTAGTGATGTCATTTAGCTGCAAATTGATATATAACTTAATATGATTTACGTAAAAATGCCTTTGAAATTTTGACTTGTGGCATTCGTCCGATTTGGCGAGTTCAACCCGTTGTCTATATATTATATACTCCGCTTGAGTATTTCCGGTATGTTGATGACGTTTGGGGCATTTGGACTCACGGTATCGAGTCGTTAAAAACATTCCATGAGCTTGGGAATAACCTTCATCCAAGAATAAAATTAGAATTAAGATATTCAGCTGAAAAACTTGAGTTTCTCGACGTAATGACGAAGATTCAGAATGGCATTTTAATAACAGACCTATACACTAAACCCACAGATAAACACCTGTACTTGCATAAAAATTCGTCTCATCCGGAATCGACAAAAAAAATCAATACCATATGGACTTGCCCTCCGTGCTAAGCGAATATGTACTAATGAATCGACATACAAACAACATAGAGAAAATATTAAAACTCAGTTACAGAAACGAGGCTATGAAGATCGACATATTGAAACAGAATTAAATAAAGTAGATAGTAAAAAAAGAAGTGACCTATTACATTATAATGAAGATAAAGAAAACACTGAAAGAATCCCCTTGGTACTGACATTTTCCAGAGCGCTCCCGAATGTAGGACAAATAGTACGAAAACACCTACCTGAATTACACACCTCAGGTAGAAAGAAGGAAATATTCCCGAATCCACCAATTGCAGCATTTAGAAGAGATAATAACCTACAAGACATTCTCGTTCATAAGAAACACAATAAACTATTTTTTCAACAGCCGAATTCCTGTGCTCCTTGCAGATCCAAAAAGTGTGCGATTTGTCCGTACGTTATTGAAGCAGACACATTCATTGGTGTGAACGGGGCCTCGTATAAGGTTCGAAATCAGATCGCGTGCAAATCTACGAATGTTGTGTATGCAGTTTATTGTAAGCTTTGCGAACGTTATATTTATGTTGGAGAAACAGGGGATACGTTGTACCAAAGACACCTTCTTAATTTATCCAGAATACGAACCAAATACAACGATCCGTTAGCAGCGCATTTTTACACGAACGACCACACAGTTAATGATTTATTACTAATGGGGCTGGAAAAGCTATACGGGAATGACCAATACAGAAAAACAATAGAAAATTTGTGGAAAAATAAATTAAGAACCTATAGACCGTATGGAGTAAATACCAAAGAATAACGCGGCAGACGGCAAACAACGCCACGGCGGGCGTCGTTCATTGACGTTACGTCACTTCCATTGTTTTGTTTGATATATTTGAATGTAGAATAAATGCTGCTGAAGAAGGCCGCAAGGCCGAAAGCTACGGCAAATTTAAATGAGCGTTTTTGCTTATATATACAGTATATATTTTTTTCTAGAATTACTTTTTTACACTATCCCAACACTCTGCTGGGTCCCTGTGATTACATTTGTACCCACATGAGGTTCTGGGAAGGGTCTCGTCAGGTATATAACTTATGTCATCGGTGAAATTTACCGTCGAGTCACACACTATAAGAATCTTACACTGGCTGCCGGTATAGACCGGAATATCTAGCTCGAGGGTAACTGTTTACGGCGGTAACGAGGCTCTGCCGAGTTTCCGCTTTAACAGTTACCCGAGAGCTAGATATTCGCGTCTGTACCGACAGTCGGTGTTTGATTCTTTTTCTTGCATATTACATACCAATTATTTTCGGAACAGAAATAACGAAACCTGATATTTTCATTACGCACTTTTTTTATAGTAGCGTATGAACTTAAAACTTCATTCATAACGGTTAAGTGACGTCATCCTAAGAACGCGATTCATTCATAAAAGTCGCGCGTCAATGACGTCATTTAAAGCACGCGACTTGTCTTACATGGGGGGTGTAAGACAGAGTTTTCTAGCACCGGTGTAAACGGTAGATACTCCTGTCTGAGATGCAAGAATATATAATCAGGCCTCACCCCTACTCTACAATTCCAATCGCCCGCCAGAAGAGCGCGTCCTAACTGGTCAAATTAATAAAAATCTTGAATAAGTAATTCAAACAGATTTGCATCTATAACTCGAGAGGCAGGAAACTCGTCTGCCCATAAATATAGGCCGCATTTAAATATATATCTGTATCAAAAATGAAAAAAGAAGCATTTAACTTTAGCCAAATAATCGTATCGAAATGGTTTTTTACGACTGATACGCCTTCATTACAAGTTTTTTTTTACATAGATAATAATGCCACCCTTATTTCGCCTAGCTTTCTTATGTTTAAATTTACGAGAAAAAAAATGTATGTAGTATAATTATCAAAATCAGTAATAGAGTCACTATCTGTCCATGATTCACTTAATATGATTATATTATTTTACATAAAAGAGAAACAAAATCAGAGTCTGTTAATTTACTGTCTGTTAGGCCATTACAGTTCCACACAAAAACATTTATTCCATCCTCCGACAGTTCCTAGTCGCTTTTGAAAGGTTTACCTTCAATGTATAAGGTATCATATACCAACCAAGCTTTTCTGTTTGCCTTAATTGCGTCATGGAGTCTAGGCACTAACTTCCGGCGACGAGCTGCTATTTCTGGCGGATAGTAGTCTGATCCTCTCAATAAATGCTTTTGTCGACGAACTAGCTTTCTGTCAGAAAAGAACGCAAATTTTACAACGATATTTCACGGTTCGTGTCGGAACTGATAGCTCCCATATATTGTATGCGTTCTAATTTAATAGAATCGACTATTGATTTTGCAATCTTCAGTTTCTGTACTAGAAAGTCTCGAAATTTTACTTCTAAATTTTCTTCCGTCTCCTCCTTGAAGCCACTAAGCACAAGATTGTTTCTCATACTTTGGGATTCTAAATAAGTTACTTTATCTTTCAGGCTAGAATTTTCTTTTTCCAGCTCCTCTACCCTCGACTGATATTCGGCGGATATAAATTCTACTCTTTCACAACGTTCCGCTATACTTGTTAATGTATTATCTAATGTTTTATGTTGATCGTGCACTTGTACTCTAAGTTACTTTAGATCTTTCTCAAATGATTTAGCATTCTCCTCTAAGGAATCTAGTTTGATTAAACGACTTTCAACACCGTCAAGTTTAACCTCAAGATATTTCAGAAAATTCACTCTTTGACGGTGGATTAGATTGTGAGACACTTTCTGTCGGAAACAAACATTTTTCTACGGGCTTCCGTTCGTGGGTAGTTTCACGATTAGCATGTGAGCAATTATCCATGTTGACTGAATTGATATCTTCGAAAACGTTATTACAAGAATCAAACAGTATATAATTAGTTTCATTCCAAACTTCGCTCACCGATTTATTATGTTAGTCCAAATCTGCCTCCCCTGACGGGCCTCCGACCCTGTACGCCTTACTAAGATTCACAAACTCTTCTTTATTACTGCTTCTATGTTTACGCTTTTTATGGGTTTTTTTCCAGATTTTACACTCATTATATGTTTAAATTCACATCTACATAGAAAAAGATCCAAAAAGAAATCCACAAATATTAATTTTATCTAAAAATGTACTACATTATACGTGTTACACTACCCAATCACGTGACATGTTATATATCATGTTATGTTTATCGAAGACATATTTCAGGCAAAATAATATATTATCGCATGGTTTGGAATTTTTTCTTTTTTTTCTTACCATTGTACATTTTCAATGAGGATTTGAAAACTGTACTGATATATAAACAGTACAGTTTTTTTTCATTGATATAGGAAAGAAATTCAACTAATATTGTTGTCGTTTCTTGTTGTTGTTTTTTGGACCTTGTATATATCAATGTAGTTAAAGACAGAGGCCGGAATGGGGGTAACACATTCATAGTAGCGAAAAACCTAGATTAACTTGCTGGTATTGGTTCATTTTTTTTAGGATTTACGTTTGAAAAAGCAATGAATTGCAGTAATTTCTTTTCTGATTTCTGTTATAATAAATTATGATATTACGATAAAACAGTCATTA